TGGGATTGTAACAGTGGAAGAGTGTTGGCATGGCAATCCTGATATTTAAGATTTAAATTCCAGTACAAAAGAATTTAAAAAAAAATGTGTCTGGGTGGTGGTAGTGGCCTTTAATCCCAGCACACAGGAGACAGAGGCAGGTGGATCTCTGAGAGCAAAATGGGAAGTATGCCCTCTGGAGTGAAAGGTGGACCCCACTGAGCAGCATAGGTTGTTTTCCTCTTCTGGAGATGAAATTCAAGTCCTCTTAGTTGACTGAGCTCCAAACCACCATCCCCGACACATTTTTCCCCCTTGAGACAAGATTTTTCTCTGTGTATCCCTGGATGTTCTAGCACTTGCTCTGTAGACCAGGCTGGCCTCGAACTCAGAAATCCGCCTGCCCTTGCCTCCCAAGTGCTGGGATTAAAGGCGTGCGCCACCACTGCTCAGCAATGATCAGAGAATTTTAAGCCTGCTGAGAAATTGTTAGCCCAGAGTAGGAGGCCTGGTGGTGATTAAACAGCTGCTTTTGGTTAGTGTTAGAGACCAGAAGGAGGGAATGGCCAGTGCATGCAGGAGGCTCTCTGGACCTCTCGGCAGGTAAACTGTCTGTGCATAGCATTTAAGAGGGCAAGCAGCACAAATTTGTTCCTAAAGATTGAAGAATAAACAACATGGCTGAGTGTAAGTAGTGCACACCCTTAATCCAGCACTTAGGAAGCAGAGGCAGCTTCTTCAAGTCCAGCCTGGTCTACATAGTAATAACCTATCTTAAAACACTAAGAATGTTCCAGTGTTGCAGGAAACTGCAGTTTACTCAGAGGCAAAGGATTAGAAGGGAGTTAAAACAAAACAAAACCCATACCAGAGCAGGTATCGCCTTATTATAGAAAAAGATAAGACATATGTGAGTATATGTGTGTGTGTGTGTGTACTAATATATATCCCCCCTCCCTCTCCATTGTCACTCTCCCTCCTTTTCCCCTTTTTCTCTCCCCTCTTCTCTCACCTCTCTCCAATTTTTGAGACAGGACTATGTAGCCTAGGCTGGTCTCAAAAAAAAATCCTCCTGTCTCATTTTCTAGGGTGGTAAGATTGCAAGTATGTGCCCTCAACCTGACTTTTGTGTCTTATTGTTTCCTTGAATTTTTCAAAGTTTTAACTTTATGGTACTTGTACATGGAATATAATTATTGGATATATTTTAAAACATACTCTGTCACTGGGCATGGTGTCAGGCCTGTAATTCTAGCATTTGGTTAGTGAGGCACGGGGATCAGAAGTTCAAGTTTATTTTTCGTTATATAGTGAGCTTAAGGACAGCTTAGGCTATGAAAGATCTGCCCCTCTCTCTCCATATATATATATATAAAACATAAATGTATATACATACATCATACATATATGTATATATATATATGATATATATCACGTTTCTATTAAAATATTTGTTATTCCCAACTCTATGTTCTGTATCCTGTTAGGCCTATATCCTGAAGCACATACCCCAAAACCAACCATTAGTTTCAATTCACAAACTAAGGTGCCAGGCATGGTGGCACAGGCCTGTAATCCCAGAATGTGAGGAAGTGGAAACAGGATGGTCCATTCAAGGTCATTGCCTGCTAAATAGGAAGCTTCAGGCTAGCCTGAAGCTTCATCTCAAAAACAGGTAAGAGACCTTCACTGGCAGGAGAGATGGCATGGTGGTCAAAAGCATGAACTAGGCTTGCAGAGGTCCCGGGTTCTATTACCAGCACCTGACCCAGTATGGATCCAAAGCATCTGCACATAGACAATTAAGAATAATAAAAATAGATCTTAAAAAAAAATAGTTATTTACTTTATGTATATGAATATACTGTCGCTGTCTTCAGACACACCAGAAGAGGATATCAGATCCCATTCCAGATGGGTTGTGAGTCAGCATGTGGTTGCTGGGAATTGAATTCAGGACCTCTGGAAGAGCAGTCAGTGCTCTTAACCGCCTTTTACAGAGGCTCTCCAGCCTCTATAAATCTTAAAATGATACCTTCAATTGGATCTAGGGCACTCCCATGTCTTAGCTGTGTGTACCCTCATACATGCCAAAGAGCAGCCTAGCTTGAATATCTTCAATGAAAACATGGGACTTGCTAGTTTGGAGGCATTCATTCTATTTTTGGGCACACAAACTCCTTGGGCTTACCTTCTCAAACTTTCCTCAAAGCAAACCATAATAACTCATAAAATGTTCTGATGTCATCCTCTGGTGCCTTGCAGAATCTTGTAAAAGTTGTGACCCCACTTATCTACTTGCTCACCCCTTTGTGATTCTGACTGACAAAGGCTCTGTGGTTCAGGTGGAAGATGAACCCAGAGGAGGAGTATGTGATGCAGGTGGCTTCGAGGTCACACATGAAACCAAGACAGCACTCCGTCTTTTTTGTTTGTTTGTTTGTTTTGGTTTTTGGTTTTTGGAGACAGGGTTTCTCTGTGTAGCCCTAGCAGTCCTGGAACTCACTCTGTAGACCAGGCTGGCCTTGAACTCAGAAATCCGCCTGCCTCTGCCTCCCAAGTGCTGGGATTAAAGACATGCGCCACCACTGCCTGGCCTAGCACTCCCTGTCTTAAGACCTCTTTTTAAATAGCCTTTGAGTCTTAGAAAGGATGTCTTTACACAAAACATATGTCTTCTTGAGAGAGAATTTTGTTCTCTTTCTCATACTGTTGTTTCCAGCCATTTCTCTAGAAACATACATATATAAGTACTAAGTCTTTATGAGAACATAAAGCTGTGCACATCGCTTAGTACAGTATGTGTGCAGGTATGTGTTTGTATATGTGTTTGTGCATTTGTGTATGTGCATGTGCACATGTGTGTGTGGTATATTTGTGTGCATGTGTATGTACATATGTGTACAAGTGTGTATATGTGTATACATGTGCAGTTGAGTGTGCCCACATGTACTCGTGTGCCGTTGTGTATGCATTTGTGTACTTGTATGTACATGCATGTATGTGTGGTGTATGTGCACATGTATGTGTGTGTACATGTGTGTATACATGTGTACAGTGTATGTATGTGCATGCATGTGTGTGGATGTGTGTGTTTGTGTGTGTGTACATGTGTGTACATGTGTATGTGTGTCTATACATATGGTGCATGTATGTATGAGCATATGTATACAGGTATATGTGTGCACATATATGTGCATGTACATATGTGCAGATATGTATGCACATGTGCAGGTATGGGCATGTGTATGTATGTATGAGCATATGTGTGCAGGTGTATATGTGTACCTGTGTGTACACATATGCATCTCTGTGTGTGGGTATATACACGCGTGGGTATGTATATGAGTGTGCATGTGTGTGTACAAATGTGTGCAGGTGTACATGGAGCCAATGTGGTGAATGTCAAGTGTTTTCCTCCATTTTTCTCTATCTTATTTTTGAAATTATTTATTTTTACTTTATGAACATTGATTGGTGTTTCACCCGCAAGTATGTCCCTATGAGGGTGTTGGATCCCCTGGAACTGGACTTACAGACAGTTGTGAGCTGCCATGTGGGTGCTGGGAATTGAACCCTTGTCCTCTGGACTTAGAGCTTGATTTTTGTTTTTGTTCAAAGAACCATGCTTTCTCAGGATAGTGTGCCTGGGTCTCCTCATATGTTTCACACAATTAACTATTTACCCAAACTGACCCAATCTGGATGAAGAGCAGGGTTACCCAAACCCTTCCTACCTCAACAGAAACCACACTTTCTGGCAAAGATGACCCTTTACCCTAGTTTCTTTGTGTGTGTGTGTGTGTGTGTGTGTGTGTGTGTGTGTGTGTGTGTTTTGAGGCAAGTTCTCAAGTAGCCCATGCTGACCTCAAACTCAGTATGTAGCAGAAGATTACCTTGAACTTCTGAAGCTTCTACTTCCACCCCTGGGATTACAAGTGTGCACCATCACACTGGCTCATGAAGTGCTAAGGATTGAAGCCGGGGCCTCTTTAATGCTGTGTAAGCACTCTACCAACTGAGCCACATGTCCAGCCTTCATCCCCTAGTCTCTGCACACTAATGGATGGAGTTTTCTTTTTGTAAATCACCTAGGCTGGACATGGTGGTATGTGTTTTTAATCCAGTATACAGAAGCAAGGGGATTTCTGTGAGTCTGAGGGCAGCCAATGTCCAATTGTAAGATGCCATCTCTAAAAATAATAAGTCCCTCCCTGAGAATACCCCGTGGACAGAGCAGGAATGGGAAATGTTTTAGGGTTAAAGCAGTAGGGCTTGGGGCCCAAAGAACCTGAACAAGAGTTGCTCTGCTGTTCCTCTGAGGACTGTAAGACCAATGTCAGGGTAGAGGGTGGAGTTCCATGGTAAAGTGCTGTCTGGTCTGTGCAAGGCTTTGAGTTTAAACCACCAGCTCCACAAAAGAGAAGAAAAAAGTTAATATAAAGTCTTTGTGCTACCTTCCCTAGCAAGATTGCTTTTCTAAAAAAAAGGAAAGAAAGAAAAACCCAGCTAGGCTTTCTCACGAAAGTGCTCTGTAAAAGAAATGGGTTCTGTGGTAGCTGATCTAGAAAAATCGCCCAGAGTTTTGCCATTAGAGACACTTTAAGCCTCAGGGTTGAACTACCACGAGGCTGATTCCTAGCTTACCATTATTTCTGAGGAATCTGATAACATACGGAACAACAGGACCCTAATTAACTGAAATCCCTACTGTCTCAGATGTGGCGGTAGGTGTGAGTGACCATATGCCAGCCGTCCCCCAACCAAGCCTTCCGCCCTGGCTGTGGTTCACCAGTGACAGAGGGGCTTCCTCTTTAGAGTTCAGTTCCTTTTCATTTCTCTTGCTCAGAAACGATGAAAGAATACCACAAGAGGGTGTGGGGGAGGGGCCAGAAGTGGAGAAGAGGGGGAGAAAACTTTCACAATAGGATATGTGCCTTGGATGATTCAATGTCGTCTGGATTACATCTTGGAGTTACTTCATTGTTTCTTACTTAATCTAAAAGAACAAGATTAGAAGGCTCAGTGGGAGAGCACAAGCCTTTAATTCCAGTTCTCTGGTGGAACTCTGTACTTGAGAGCAGCCTGGTCTATACAGTAAGTTCCAGGCCAGGCAGAAAACAAAACAAAACTCCAAATCATCAAACAAACAAACAAAAAAAAAACCCTAAGATAAGGTAGAATAAGATTATCCAAACCTGGGATCGCACCCCCAGTTCACCTTGTGTGCTATCCTTGTCCTTTGGCTGTGAAAGTGTCTTTCAAACTGTTTGCTGCTTTAAGTCTACAACTGGTGCCTTCTTTCCCACTGATAAACTAAAAAATAACGTCTGGACTGGATGTATAGCTCAGTGGTAGAATGTTTGCCTAGTGAGCGAAACCCAAGCATCATGAATAGATAAAAATCAAAATTTCAGGGTAGATTTGGAATCTTAACAGCACATGGACCCAGATGTCCAGCTGTCAAAATGATTTGTAACGGCTCACTCCAATCCCAGCTATGTGAGCCGTCCTGTGCGCTAGCGCTCGCTGCTCTTGGATCGTCAGCATTACTCCTCATAAAACCAAATGCCCGCTTAGTGACTGAGTGAATGGATTCAGAAAACAGCTTCTGCCTTTTGAATAATTGAACAGACCAAGCTGTAATGCGAGACACTCAGAAATAGTTGGATTGCCTTCACCAAGCTTTTGGGGGTTTTTCTCTCCTCTGCTCCCAGATCTCTTGCCTAGCTATGGAGAGGGAGAAGCTAATACCAGGAGAAAACTGATCAGAAATTCTATTTTACTCTTCTCACTGACCGTGAGAAAGTCCACATCTCAGGAACATGCCTGGCTGCTGCTCTCTGAAGGAATCTCCTGGATCAGAACTGAAGGTGTGTGTGTGTATCTGGCCTATCCTGGCTACCACAACCATAATCTAACAGAGCCCTTAGACCCTAGGCAATAGCTCCTCCTACTCCTAAAATAACTTTTAGGAGAGATGGATTGGACTAGCTTGAGAGCCTGGCCTAGAGGCCTAGGTCAGCCCTGTAGCTTGCATCCACCGTGAGAGGCAGGGACAGACACTCACATTCTACCCTTGCTGGCTCTCTCCACCCTGGCCTCAACCCAGCATCTCTTGCCTCTGCTGGCTTCTCAGACTGAAGAGAGCTAGGCAACTGCAACAGCCTGCTTCCCCAGCTGCTGATATGCAAGTCAGAGCAGAACCACAACCGCAGAGCACATGAGGGAAATGGGACAGAGACACAAACATCCTGTCCTTTCTGTACCAAGTGGCTCCAGCTCGAGACTCAGAGTCACCAAGATGATTATTTATGTGGGACAGAACCACCCGTCGACTCTCATAAGTTCATCCTGCCTGGACTCCCAGCTAGGGGAGCCAGAATTTCTCTCCAGTCCGCAGACTTCGCCAGGGTTGCTACTCTGCTTTTGACTTTGATTTTAGGAGACCAGTGGCCAGGGTCTAAGCAGGATGAACAGTGGTTCTTAGAGGCAGGGCCATTCTTCTCAAGGTAGTGCACTCAAAGCAAAAGTTCTCTTTCTTCAGTTTAAGAGAGAGGGGCACAGAGCCCTACCCCCTTCACTGTTATACCTTGTGGAGGTCTTTCTCACAGTTTCCGGGGCTTCCCCAGGCAAGCCTCACCTGGTGTAAGAACGCTTCCAGTTGAAGATCTCCTCTAGATTGGAAGAAGGGGAAACCTCTCGTTTCTGCAGGCCCCCCCAGCGACGCCGGCCCCCTAAAAATGAAGTCCTGCGCCTGCTCAGCCCTTTCATCCTCTCTTCCATTCGGAAGAATTCAGCCAGGGCCCTGAAGGACTCCAAGATGACCTCGTGGCTCCATGCTGACAAGGGCTCAGGGCGCAGGAAGCCGCAGTGGCCTCCACGGCTACTGAGCAGCAGGAAGAAGTATGGGTTGGTGTGGAAGAGTTCCGCAGGCAGAGTGCGCTCTGGGGGCCCACACACAGGGTCGTCAGCACTGTAGATGCACAGCACGGGCACAGCAGCCTCGTCCACATCCCGGAGTGGGTCGTTGAGATCCCAGTAGATATCCCAGCTGATGGGGAAGCTCTTGGTGTGGCAGAACAGGGTCTCCTCAAACTCTCGCAAGGAACGGCTCCTGAAGAGCTTGCTGGTGTCTACTGTGTCCTCTAGGGCAGAGGCATACCTGACCACAGGTGAATGAGAGAAGGGGATAGAAAAATCAGAACATTAGACGACAGGCAAAGTTACTGCGGGGGAAGGCACCAAGGCCAGAGTCTAGTCACAGAGACTTTGGGCTTTTGCAATACAGAAAAGAGCAGGAGACAGAGGCCCTGTGGAGCTTTGTGAGTTCCAACCAATGACAATCAATGACTCTCAGACATCCCCTCCCCACCCCACCCCCGCACCGCCCCACCTCCCCGCACACACAAGCAAACAACACAGCCCCTTTTAAAGACGTATTTCACGTGTGTGGATGTTTTGCCTGCATGTATACATGTACCATGTGCAAATCAGAAGCTCCCCAGGAGCTAGAGTTACAGATGGTTGTAAGCCAGCATGTGGGTGCTGGGAGTTGAACCAGGGTCCTCTACAAAAGCAATGGTGCTCTTAACCACTGAGCCATCTTTCTGGTCCCCCAAACCCCTTTCATGTTGTGGCCATCATTTAAGATCAGAAGATTTCTGATATAATGCATGTGTTTGGCTTCTCCAAAGAGATGATCATTCCTTCTCTGTCACTCCTATCATTTGTCCCAGGGATAACATTTGACTTTGCAGTTGTTGATCAGGGGTAGCTCTCCCTGTAACCTCAACTTTAGACCTTTTGCAAGGAACTCATAACCTGTCTCCTCTGAGACTGATCCTGAGAGAACTCACTGTTTCAGACAATCCAAACTAGGAGGCAATACCTCTCCCTCTCCCACAATTAATCATTCTTTCATTCCGTTCATTGCCTTTGTGTTTTTAGGTTGATGTGCATGCCTGGTGGTATGCCCTTGGTCGGGGACACCTGGGGCACGTACTCCTAGCAAGTACTTGGTGGTAGAGAAAACAACTGGAAAACAACTAGAAAACATCAGTCTATTAGATGGTTTCCCAAATAGGGGCCTGCCAACTACTGCACTGGGAAAAGGGACCTCTTAGCTCCCTAGGGAGGGTCTGGAAGGGTCACAAGGTGGCCAGTCCTTTAGGTGGATTAGTCAACCTCTGTCAGTTGACTTCAGATCTAGATCCTCGGGAAGGGTGGTTCCTAAAGGCCCTGGCTTCTTCTCCATTTCCCTTACCCAGCTTTCTGGCTTGAGCCTACAGTAAGCACTGAAGGTGGTCATTTTGGAGTGGAAACTACAGCAGTTAAACTAGAGTACTCTGTCCCTGTACCAAACCTCTGAGTTGTCATGGCAGCATATCTCATTCAGCCTCAGAGTTTGACCTTTTCAAAATAGAAGGATGTAAAATGGCAAAGAAAAAAAATACTGAAAGTGTTCTAATTGGCAGGTCAGGGTCCTGTGTTTTCATGTAATGGTCACAGCACCTGCAGAGGTGCTGTTATTAACTCCACTCAGCTGAAAGGGGAATGGGCCTTAAAGGGGCTGGCCGATTCCCTGTAAATTCAGGATTTGACCCCGGCCAGGCCTGACACCATGCCCTGGGTTTTACTAATTGTTGCCAGAATGCCTCTGACCTCATTTTTGTCATCTCTTAGGAGAGACTGGGAATGTCATTCAAGTGGTTTCTGTGGAACAGTCTTGCCTGGTGTTAAAAATTGTCCTCTCTCTGGAGATCTAAGAGTTTAGTGGGTTTCGTTTGTTTGTTGTTTTTTTTTAGTAGATGCATGCTGTGCCCAATGCCTATAATCTCAGCACTTAGGAGGCAAAGGCCGAGGATCTGGAGTTCACGGGCACACACCCTCAGCTGAACAGCCTGAGTTGTATGAGACCTTGACTCAGAACAGACACACGAATGAGTGTTGCATACTCACCTAGAAATACTTAAAAACGTCTGTCAGTTTAAATAATTTTAATAAATCAAATGCTGCACATTTTCCATTCCTGTCACCTCAGCTCAGAGTCTGAAAGTAAACACTCTGGACAGATAATCGGCTGCAATTGCTTCCAGAGCCCTGTTTGCTGACCTATCTGTCTATAGACTAAGTGGTAAATGTCAGGTGCAGGCCTCTGCTGACCACCGGTTGCTAGGACACCTAAGACTGAGACGAACTGATGGGGCTCTGACAGAGGCCCTGGAGCTATCTATGGCTTTGAAACCCACTTTTCTAGCTCTAGTCAATTATAGGGTTGGAACAGCTTTGGAAACCTTGTGAGAACTACCTACAATGGTCTGTTTCCGTACCAGGCAGAGCTCTAGACTTCTAATCCCTTTACCCACCTGCTGAGAGCGATTTTCTGGTGCAGCAAGAACCCACGTTCATAGGGCCAAGGCAAGCCAGCCTCGAACCACTCGCGACAGCGTAGCACTGGCGAGATGCAGGCGGCACCGGTCACATAGCTGGAGGAGCCGCACTCCCCCAAGTAGGACAGCAGCAGCCCGGACCCTGAACCCTCGCTCACGGCAAACAGGGGGGCCGCCGGGTGTCGGAAGCGAATGTAAGTCACCGCCTCCTTGAGGTCGGACGGGTCCCCGAAAGGCTGTAGTCGGGGGCTGACTAGAGGGCAACCGTGGTGGCCCCTGCGATGGAAGATGACCGGGTAGTAGCCGCGCTCCAGGGCAAGCAGGCAGAGCCCCAGTACATTGCGGGTGAGGCGTCCCCATGCATTGGGGATTACCAACAGCACTGGAGGGAGGCTCCCAGGGTTGGTGACCCGGCGGCCCCTGGCACAAGGTCCTATGACCCAATCCAGAGCCACCAGCCCATCATCTGCCAGCTGCAGGTACTCACGGGCTAGCTCTGGCCCCGGCCCGACAGGCAGGATGAAGTGGCAGAAGGTCTGCAGGTGGGGTCCCGACAGCCAGGAGCGCGGGCTGGGTTCCAGCGCTGCCGAGCGTCGCAGAGCGCGCAGCAGGCACTGGGCCAGCGCCGACGGCTTGCAAATGAGGCTGCAGCCCCCGGGGAGCGGTTCGCGCCGGTAGTTGAACGGATCCGCCGGGCCTCCGCTCACCACCTCCTGCTCCTCGTGGTCCCGGACCGCAGTTCGCGCTCCGACGGCGCGCTTCCAGGGGCGCAGGAGGAGCAGGACGATCGCTGCCAGCAACAGCGCGAGAGCGGCCGCCCACGGAGGCATGGCCTGGCAGGACAGTCCCCGGCGGGAGGCACTGGGCTGCGGGGAGCGGAGCTGTGCCCTCGCCTGGCTCCCCCGCTCTGCCTGCAGCTCCGCCCGGCTGCCCGAAGCTGTCAAGAGTCCTCCCAAGCGGGAGGGCGCGCGCGCGCTCCGGATTGGTCGGGGCCAAGAGGAGACAGCCAGTTCGGATCGAGCTCCCCTCGCCCGCCCCCCAACTCCCGCCCCCCAGCCCTTTGTACAGCGATTGCGACAAGCAGGAGCAGAGGGTGAAAGAGAGCGGGCCACAAAGTGGGAGCCGGGACGTGAGGGCCAACCAGAGAGAGCGTAATAAGGAGGATTGCTAGGAAAGGATTGGGGGGCAGGCGAAGGGTGAGGCTGGAAGTGAACATGAGGCGCCTGCTTCTATCCCTGCCCTCTATGAAGTCTGGCTGCCAAGGGAGACCCTGGGTCACTGCGCCCTCAGGATCCGCTATTGATGCGTAGCAAAAAAGCAAGAAGGGAGCAAAGCGCTGATCCCTAGCTGGCTTCACTTTCCCACTCGCCGCTGCATTTGCAACTAGAGACGTATATCGCTCTCCTTCGCCTGGTTCTGTGGCCCACCCAGGACCCGCAACTGTGACATAACGCAGCAGGGTTAGGACTGTGCAGCTGGCCAGACGCTGACTGCAGCGTCTGACCCTGACCACGAGTTTGAGGGAGGTGGCTGTGGTTTCTCTGGAGGGCAACCGGGCACTAGCCCGTAGACACTTGTGGCCTCCCCAGCCCACCCCCAAGGACGCTCTCTAAGAGCTTAGCGTCTCCACCGCTCACCTGGAAAGGGTGCAGGAGAGGAAAGAGCCTCAAGTTTGGCAGAGTAAGTTGAGAGAGAGGATTAAGCGATTTGGGGGCGTTGGCAGAGAGGTACATTGTGGTTCTTTGGGTCAGACCAACATCCGGTCATTCCTGCAGAGGTGGGTGAGCAAAGGTCTTCTTGTATGTCAGGGCACATGGGAGATGCCTAAAATAATTATTTTTGGACATATTTCGAACATAAAAAGATTTATTACATTTAAGTGTGTGTGTGTGTGTCTAGGTCAGAGGACAACCTGCGGGAATCAGGTCTCTCTTTTAACCACTTAGGTCCACAGCCTCCGGTCGTCAGGCTGGCGGCCAGCACTGTTGTCCACTGAGCCATCTCGCAGGCCTGTTTCAAACTTTTGTGTTGGGCGTCAATCCTTAACCGGGTTCTCGTTTCCATTGCAGCGCTCTGTTGCATGGAGGCCCAGATGAGCACGCTAGCTCCTTGGACCAGTGTCTCCTAGGTCACCCTTGGGCAAAGAACGAGAGCGGGAACCAGGAGAGCTCGGCTTCTCGGGGCTTCTGGGCCTGAGGTAAGAGGGGCCTAAGACTCTCCCCCCGCCCCCCCAAGAAAGCTCGGGGCTCAGGTCTTACTATGAGCGAGAGCAGGAATGGGGCAGCGTGAAAGGAAAACCGCTAGAACCGGGACCCTTTCTCTGGGACAGCTAGGATTTCATAATTCTATGTTTAGCCGGTTTGCCAGAAGAGCATACAAGTCTCCGTGTGGGTCACCCGGTCCTTAACGATCTCACTTTCCGCCCTTTGCAGGCTTCCCAGATTCTACTCGGGCGATACAGTTGCGCTCTGATGCTCGCGCAAACGCGCCGGCTTGGAGACCAGGAGATCTTTGGCGACTAACTTTTCCGGCTTTGGGCTCAGGACGCGTGCGCGGGCCTGGCGGCGGGCGGGGCGAGCCTGGAGGTAGGCGGGGCGGGGGCAGGGGCGGGGGCGGGCCTGGCGGTAGGCGGGGCGAGGGCGGGCCTGGCGGTAGGCGGGGCGGGGCACGAGGCCGGGCGAGGAGGGAGCAGGAGTGTGCGCGAGCCGCGGTCGACGTGGGCGCGCGAGCGGCGCGGGGTAACGAGCGCGCGCAAGTGGCGCTGCAGCTAGCTGGTTGGCGGGACTGCTGGCCCAGCTGAAATGGTTCCTCCTCCTCCACCTCCGCCCCGGTTGCTTCTAGTAGCCCTGGTGGGGCTCCTGAGCCTTCGCGAGGTAAGGCGACCGGCTCCTGGTAAGGTCTTGGCTGGGGGATCTCAAAGCGCTTTGCTTCAACTTTGTCCTGGAAAGAGTGGCGCGCGCGAGGGGATTCGGAGGCCCCTCCATTCGTCTGCGCCTCTACTCCTGGAACCGAAAGGGCGGGGCCCTCGCAGAGGCCAACGCCCAGCTCTTCGCCTTGGACCCACAGGTGGTGGCTGAGCCGGTGGAGGAGGCAGGAACCCCTTGTCCCGAAGGCCTGTGGCCTCTGCCTCCACAGGTAGGAATCCTGTAGGGCCGAGGATGAGAAGGGTATGAACGGCCTCGCTGCACCCTTGGACTGGGACATCTGTTGGTTTCTCCTGCCCTCAGTCTCCAGCGTCTTCATCTCAGCCCAGGGCTTGGGGCTGGTTGTCCCCTTCTTCACACCCAACATGAAGTCCCCAGCTGCTCTCTTCTTTCCCCATGTGTAGGTGTTACCAAGAGTGACTTACACACAGGTGAGACAAGGACAGGTAAGTAGAACCAGGAGTCCATTTTGGGATCCTTCCCTGGAGACAGAGTGTTCCTCGTAGGTTACCTCTGTCTCTTGGCTCTCAGGTCCACCCCTCACCTCTTTATGCAAAGAGAGGTAAGGTTTCACTTGGGAGTCCCAGGACAGATCGCTGGTGTGGGGTCAGGGGTTCTGTGGAGTAGCTAGATGCGTGGCAAGTAACTCCAAGTGGAACTCTGAAGGGAGGAAATAAACAACCCACATCCCAGTGCTGGCGTGATTCGGATTCTCTCGTCTTTCTAGGCTCTGGTTTTCTGCAAGAGATGGCATTCTGCCCCTTCAGCTTTGAGAAACAAAGCACTGTATCATGTTAGCAATGTGTGCTTTAATGTGTTGTAACCTGAGCTCAGGCTTTATGAATGTTCTTTTTAAAATTGTTTGCATTTATTTTATGGATATGAATTTTGCCTGTGGGCTTTGTTATTGTTTTTTGTTTAGTTTTGTTTTTTGGTTTTTCGAGACAGCATTTCTCTGTGTAGCACTGGCTGTCTTGGAACTCACTCTATAGACCAGGCTGGCCATGAATTCAGAGACTTCCACTTGCCGTTGCCTCCTGAGTGCTGGGATTAAAGGCCTGCACCATTACCTGGCACCTGTGTGTTTGTATGTTCAGATCCCCTGGATCTGGAGTTATAGGCTGTGATCTGTCATGTGAGCACTGGGAACTGAACCCAGATCCTCTGGAAGAGCAGCGAAAGCTTTTAGCCACTGAACTCTTAACTCCAGGCCGCTCCACCCCCCTTTTTGATACAGGGTCTCATGTAGCCCAAACTGGCTTCAAACTTGTTCTGTAGCCAAGAATGATCTTAAAGCTCTGATCCCCCTGCCTATTAAAGAGCTAGGATCACAGCGGGTGCAGCATTGGTCTTGGCTGCCTCTTTGTTGCACATAATCCTCTTATTTCATTGTTCAGAATCTATCTGACTTTATGATTCATGTTTAGAATCCACCTGTTGTGGCTGAATTCCCCTGTCTAACTTGTCGAGACTTAAATTATCTTCATCTGATTTCTTGATTAGTTTATCTCCATCGCGATGGGCCCTCCCCACACATGGGAATTCAGACTCATTTCCTTCGAGATACCTACCTTCTTTTCTCTGATTTACTTTTTACTCCTGGCCTATCAGGACCTGAAACCCACAGCTTCACACCCTACTCCAACGATTTTCAAGGCTCAGTGCAGAATTCACAGCACACCTTTCCCCCATAACTTGTCTGCCTTTAACCCACCCTCTTACAATTAACTAAGCTAGCTGGACATGGTGGCTACTTGGGAAGCTGAGGCAGGAGGAATAAACGTGAACTCAGAGCCAGCCTGGACAATGTTGTGAGACTGACTCTGTTTTAAAACTTAAGGAGAAACAAGTGAAAAGACAGTTGAGGATATGGCTTGCTGTTAGAGTGTTTGTTTGTGTGGGTTCAGATCCCTAGAACTTACACCTCCTCTTCCCATCCCCCCTCCCCCCACGACACACACCGGTTTGAGTTGTATCAGTTTTTTACTTCCCTGAATTTCTCTCCCTCTGCTCCATGGTCTTAGAGGTACGTATGTTCTTGTAGCCGAAACTGGCCTGGTATCCACTGTGTACCCTGGTCTGGTCTTGAACGTTGTCTTACATCATGTTCCGAATGGCTGGGATTACAGGTGTACTGATCATGTCTAGCTTCCCCCGAGTCTCTTAGACATTTTTCAAGGGCCAGGAGTTCTTTTTTGGTATCTTTAATAGCAGCTAGCACAGGTTAACTCAAAGAATAATGACTGATAAAATGCCCCTATCCTGAGATTGTGCAGTCAAGTTGTGTGTCTGGATGCTCCTGGGAGATTTGCGTGGATAGGATCAAGAAATAGAAGACTTGGTCTTCATATGAGGGGTAGAGCCTAGAGTTGGGACTTGTAGAACCATTAATGCACAGTCAGAGAAATACAGCTGAAGCCTGTTCATTGAGGGCCAGGGGTGCAGGCCAGGAGTGCAGGCCAGGGGTGAGAGGGCCTCATGTTGATCCTCAGTTCTGTGTGAGGGGGCAAGGGAGTATGTCTGGAGTCTAATGGGGTTACTTAGCTATGCAGTCTTGCCCACAGGTGCATCTTTTGGGGGTTACACTTGCTGGGGAAGAGAGGTGAATTAGAAGTATACTGGAGTACTCAAGGCCCTTTGCCTTTTTGTGGAGGTGGAAGGGCACTTTCTGATAACCCCTTTATCCTGGAGCCTAGGATAGGAGAAATTGTGATTCTCTGGGAGGGTGCTGGGCCTGGCTTGATATCTCTGCCTTCCTCCCTCCAGGCTGAGGATATCACCTTCTTTTACCACCCCTGTGCTCACCCCTGGCTGAAGCTCCAACTTGCTGTCTTGGCCCATGTGTGTGTGTCTAAACCCATACTCATTCCTGACTTCAGTCTCACTTGGGACCGGGTAAGTGGTTAGTGAAAGGTATGCTAAAGGCAAAAAGAAATCAAAGATGAAAAAAAAAAAAAAAAAAGCTGGGTTTGGTGGCCACCATCTTTAATCTCAGTACTCTAGAGTCAGAAGCAGGCAGATCTCAGTTTGAGGCCAGCCTGGTCTACATATTGAATTCCAGAACTGCCAGGGCTACGTAGTGAGAACCTGTCTCATCCCCTTCCCCCACCCAAAAACCAGGGTGTTGTGCTGCAGAAGGGTGAGCCACTGTGGGCAGAGACAGGAAAATTTAGGATCTTCTTCCATCTTAGCTCTACATTACCTATTCTCTCATAGCCTGTGGTACTGACAGCATGGGGGACCTCACTGGAGATGGCATGGATAGAGCCAGCTTGGGTTGTCCACTGGCTGAAGAGGCGGCGGCGGAAGCAGAGAATGAATGTGTGGTTTCTTTCTGACAATCTTTTTGGGCCCACTCCCATGATGCCAGCCTTCAGAAGAGGGAAGCTGTGTGGGAGACGGTGTGTACAGGTGAGGGGTGCTGGGGCCAGACTTGGTGGCGAGAGTTTTGGGTTATCGGAGAATAGGAGCTGATTCCTCTCCTCTTCTTAGGCCCCGACTCTGGCCTTTGCTCTGCGGAGCTGGCGACCTCCTGGTATAGAGGTGACATCTAGAGGACCCAGGCGGTCCTCGATCAGCGTTGTCAAGAGAAGGGGTCTCCGGGCTGCCCTTGGTCTCCAGTCTACTCCCTCAGGGCTGAGGGTTTCCTTGGCCTCTTCACAGAGCCTGAAGGCCCAGCAGCCAACTTTGGAAACCTCATCTGTGGCCCCGGTCTCTTCGATGACTGGGGGACCTGGAGGCAATGGTAGGTCCAGGACAGAGGCTCAGATGCCCAGTGGGCAAGGCAGCCCTGGAGGTTGTTCCTGTCCAAGTCAGGTTTCCCCAGTACCTCGAGCTGCGGTGCCTCCCCGGGTAGCCCGAGGGCCCACTCCACGTACTGAAGAGGCAGCTTGGGCTGCCATGGCTCTGACCTTCCTGTTGGTCCTGCTCACCTTGGCCACTCTTTGCACACGACTGCACCGGAACTTCCGCAGAAGTGAGAGTATCTACTGGGGGCCCACGGCAGACAGCCAGGACACTGTGGCTGGTGAGGGGGGGGGGGGGGCCCCCCCCCCCCCCCCCCCAGTCCCCCACCAGGTGCGCCCAATCCCTGGAATTCTTTGCCTTTGACCTCTCACCCTCCCACAGCTATCCTGAAACGGAGGCTGCCTTTGCCCTCGCGCCGGATCAAGCGGTCTCGCAGACGGCCCCTGCTCCCACCCACACCGGATAGCGGCCCTGACTCGGAGAGCTCAGACTGAGCGGCTCCGCCCCTCTGTGACCGCCGCCACGTGGGGCGTCCGCGGGCACCCCCTGGCGGCAGATGGAGAGGCCCTGGAGGCTTCACCTGGTTTCTTGGAGAGTATCCTTCTAGCCACCCTGATACAAATTCCTGTTTCTAATTAAATTATTTTAGTAGAATTTGGAGTTGGGCGAGTGTATCGTGCCCTTGGTCGCACCCCTTTCAGGTCACTAGCCCTTACGGGGAGTTAGAGTGGAGCTGGCCCCCAGTGTACCAGGGCTGTTAGACTCCCACCAGGCCGTTTCTAGTGTAGCTCAGGTGCTGGCACTCCTCACTTGCTCACCTTTCTGCATGTCCTCCCCTGCCCAACACGCACTCCTGAGTCTTCACCCCCAATCTCTGTGACCCCAGGACAACCTTAAA